ACTGATATAATTTTAATTACTTGATATATGCGTAACGTAATACATAAGTAGTGTAAAATTGAAAGTACGAAAAACAACTCTCCAATAAAAAAAATAGTTACTGCAAATTACAACTGGTAATCAAATTATTAACTTTTTGACTATCTTTGAAATTATAAATTCTGAAACCCCTTATCCCTAGTTTTTATGATCAAGAAATTACTTAAATTGAATAAAACAAAATGATAGCAAATTTCTTATTTATATATATTTTTAGATTTGTTTATTACAGTTTTTTAACAAATTCCAGGGTGAAGCTTATTAAATCTTGTTGCTGGCAGAGGTTTAATGGAGCAGCTAAGTATAGCTAGAAAAAATCAACTCTGTTTCAGTACAGTTTTAATGACAAATAGTAATAGTCTAATTAAAGCTGGAAAATTAACTAGTAACAGAATCAAATGTGCTAGACAGTTACAGACCATATGTCTATATATTTATAAATGTGTATATGCATTGACATAGCAATATATAAATATATATATAAATATATATATATATATATATATATATATATATATATATATATATATATATATATATATATATATATATATATATATATATATATATATATATATATATATATATATATATATATATATATATATATATATATATATATATATATATATTATTAGGTTGGGTCATAAAATTTTATTTAGAGTTGCTAACTTGGCTATGGTCTAGAAAGTTGTTTTTTTATGCACTAATTTAGGAAAGTATTTACTTTATTGGATTGAACAATGTCTTCCACCCGCAACTATAATTACAAAAATTAGCAGGCCCTATTATTATTCAAAAAAAAAGTTTTTTAAAATTATGTAATGTAGGTACTCAAATAAAGCGAAATTTTATAAAAGTTTCAAAAATAATAATTTTTTCATATAAAAATTATTATTTTAGATTTTATTGCATAATAACTATAGTTTTTTAACTAAAAGTAAAAAAGATGCATTTTTACATGTTTTTTAATAACAATTTTTTTTGGCGATATGATTTTTATAAAACGATTATTAATTTCGAATTTTTAATAAATTTCGCTTCTTTTGAGTACCAGGTTGGCCTACTTTTAAAAAAAGTTTTTTTCTCCAAAATATTAGGGTACCAATAATTTTTCCAATAAAGTTGCGCCCTTTAAATCTATCACAATCATTCTCATATTTGATAGTATCAATATTAATAACTATTAGCAATGTTTAGAGCCTGTAACAAGAAAAAAAATTTTTTGACCCAGCCTAATATATATATGTATATAAGTATAACTAGTTAATGGTTATATAAATATATATATATATATATATATATATATATATATATACATATATATATATATATATATATATATATATATATATATATATATATATATATATATACATATATATATATATATATATATATATATATATATATATATATATATATATATATATATATATATATACATATATATATATATATATATATATATATATATATATATATATATATATATATATATATATATATATATATATATATATATATATATATATATATATATATATATATAATATATATATATATATATATATATATATAAACATTTTTAAAAATGTATTCTACAAAATAGAGTACTCAATGTTCTTAAAAGAACAGAGCAATTATAAATTAGTAGAAAATCACGTAACAAAAACTTTATTTCATTTTACACTCTGTTTCATTAACAAAGACTCATCAGAAATGAATGACCAAATTAATTTGATCATTCATTTCTGATGAGTCTTTTTTGATAAAACACAGTGTAAAATGAAAAAAAAATTTTCTACTAAATTATAATTGCTCTGTTCTTTAAGAACATTAAGCACTCTATTTTGTAGTACACATTTTTAAATTTGTTTATATATATATATGGCTAATTCCACAATGAAAGGGATAAATTTCGTGTTTAAAAATTTCTTTTTTTTAAATGCTTTTTTTCTTTAATTGTAATTTAAACACCTTAATATTATTGTTAAAATAATTTTTGAATAGCAAATATTTGAACCGAGTCGATAAACTTGATGAATTCTAGCAGTTGTTTTCTCTTTTTATTATTTGAAAAAGTTAGTAAAATTTAAGGGCAAGTTATTGCAACATTCTAAGCAAAATATATCCATATTTTTATTTAAAAAAATTCTTTGAGATTATATGAATGAATTGAGTTTACACACTTTTAAATTTGAAAATAATTCAATGTTTTTTTAGCACATACACATCTGCAAAAATTAGGTTGCGTCACTGAACTTAAAGATAAAAAAGTTTATTTATCACTATGAAATGAGGTTTTAGAGCGAGTTTTTTTTAAATATTTTATATTATAGTGTGAACTTTCTATCACTATTTAAAAAAAAATTGGTTAAAAAGCATTATATTAACTTATATTTAATGTTTAAAAGCTGTTGCGTCACTGAACCCATCAACGGAATAATTAACGTTTATAAAAAAAAACGCGGTAAGGAAGTCAAAGTATCATCTAAAAATTCAGTTTTTGTTGTGGGTTTGGTCGATTAAATTTTGCATTTTAATTTTGTGTAGGGCTCTCGTTAAATATTTGTAAATTATTTATTTATGTTGGCATTTTCTTATAAAGTTATACACTTTTAAGAAATGGAATCAAAATTAGAAGTAAAAAAAAACGTTATGCAGAGTAGTATTATGAGTACGTTATGCAGAGTAGTATTATGAAACGTTATGCAGAGTAGTATTATGTTTCTCAGAATCCTGATAAAAAGAAACAAATGTCCAGAGAAAGATCTAAGAGATATCAAGAAAAATTGAAAGCCGACCCTAATAAAAAAGCAGCTTATTTTGCTAAAGCAAAACTTAGAGTTATAAAAAGTATTCGCGCTTTAAAAAGAAAACTTATAAATCAATCTCAAAGACTAAGCTCATCTTTTAAAACTGTTCAACGAAGAGGAAAAGCATTGAAAAAGGTTTTAAAAGCACTACCAAACTCAAAGAAAAAACAAGCTGAAATTCTTTCTATTCTTTCAAACAGCTCTGCATGTAAAGAAAATCCGGGTCTACCGGATATTCGGGATACCATCATATTCAAAGCTGTATGGTCTTTCTGAAAGTGATGTTTTAGCAGTTGTAAACTTTTATAATGAAGATGAAGTTTCCCAAATTTAACCAAACAAAAAAGATGTCACTCGAATTCAATTATCTGACCGAAAAACAAACAATATTCCAATACGTCATTTATATTATACGCTAAAAGAAGCTTTTGAGCTATTTAAGGTTAAGCATCAGCACATCAAAATCGTCCACGCAATGTGAAATCTGTCACAAAATTTCCACATAATGTTTGTGTTTTTAGTTTGCATGAAAATATGTGATTTGCCTTAGATGCATTAACAAAATCAATTCAAGGGCCTTCAATCAAAGTTGGATCTGAATTGATAAATAACTTTGTTTGTGAACTGTTCACACGCGATTGCGCCTATGAGAATTGTGTTGCATGCAAAGGTATGAAACAGTTTGATAAACATTTGCAAACTGTTGATACATTTCATTTCGAAGTATCCTGGGACGAGTGGAGAAAGCCTAAAACTAAAACGTATGCAAACATTGAAAAAATTTCAAAGAAGTCTTCTGTAACTTATCCAGCACATATCAGCGATGCGTGATAAGTTTGTTAAACACGCATTTATAAAAAAAAACCAATCAACAATTTTTAAGAAACTGAAGGAAGTTTCGATGATTATTAATTCTGAAATTACGGTAATTCAAGTTGACTGGGCTGAGAACGCTAGGTGTTTCTATCAAAATGAACCGCAAACGGCTTATTTTGGCCTCAACCAAGTTTCTATCATGACCTTTGCATTCTGGAACGTTGAGTTAAAAACATTCGCTATAGTTTCTGATTCTACTGATCATACAAAGTCTTCAGCTATAACGTACATCGACAAAATCCTAAACTTTATTCCTAATCGAGTCAAAGAAGTACACATGTTCAGCGACAATGCCACTTCTCAGTTTAAAAACAAAAGCATTATGGCTGCAATAGTTGTGTTTGAAAAACATTTCAATAAAAAAATTCTTCTAGCATTTCTTTGCAGCAATGCACGGGAAAGGAGTGGTTGACGGGAGTAGAGCTACTGTTAAGCGAATCGCAGCGCTGAGAATTAAATCTAGTCAATGCGTGATCAAGTCAGCAGCTGATTTTGCTTTAGCATTAAAAGATTTGCAAGTATCTGTAATTCATAGACAACAAAAAAATGAACTTGGATTCAGTTCAATTTTAAGTTATTCAAAAAAAATCAAAGATATATCTAAGTCACATTATTTTTATATTCAGAATGATAACATTGTTCCCATGCTGTTTTCACCTGAACATAATTAAAATTTATTACAAAATAACATAACTTTTTAAACATGATTTTCATTCCATTTTTTGTTTTGTCACTGAACGTTGCGTCACTGAACTGATAGTTTTTTCTGTAAAATAAATTGATATAAAAACTTCGTTGTTTATGGCTTTTTTTAAGACTGGCTTATTGCCAAATGAATAAATTACAACAACAAAATCTAATTAGTCTAGCAAGAATTAAAATTTCAGAGAAAATTCTGTTTGAAAACATGCTGATAAAAAAACACTTTTTTCTGTGTTGCGTCACTGAACTCATGTTTTAATTTATGTCTTGTGTCATTGTTGTTACAATAAAATTGTTTTTAATTTATATTATAAAATTTTAATTCAAGATTATTTTGGAGTAATAAAATTTTTTTTTTGAGTTACAGAAAAATTTTTATTAAAGAAAATCGCATGTTGCGTCACTGAACTATGGAATTAGCAATATATATATAAATATATATATATGTATATATATATATATATATATATATATATATATATATATATATATATATATATATATATATATATATACAATTTTTAGTTTTTTTTCTAAAAGTTTTTGCTATCACTTGTACTGTAGGAACTTTATTAATGGAAAAAGAAACTTTACTGTCAAAAGGAAAATTGGTTGCTACTTCAATAAAGTTTTATAAAGAACACGTAGTGTATTTTGAAATCAAACCAACAGCTTTTAATCAATCTTTTGAAAAGAAAAATATTATAAGTTTAACTAATGGTACAGATACATGCAAAAGATGTCAAGTTCTATCAGTTTTTATCAATCAAGATAATGGAACTTTGCTAATTCTTTTTGACTTAAATAAAACTATTTTTAATATAACAACAAAACCTATTCAACAAGAACACTGGTCTTCAATTGAAGTATCACAAATTTTTTCAGAAAGAAAATACATATTCTCAATTGAACTTAATCGTCAAAAAATTGTAAGTTTGACAAACCAACATGCAAGAGAATTTTCAAATGTTACAGTTTTTGTTTCAGATACAGTTAATGATGTGCAAACTGGATATATTAGAAATCTTATAATAAAAAACTACAATCCAGGTGAATCACTTTTTAATTTTAATTCTTGTATTTTTTGCATTTTGTTTTCTCACTTACATTATTGGTTTATCAATAATGTGGTTTAGTTCTGTGTGAAAGGTCTGGAAGTTGATCTTCACAGAGTTTAATATTAGGGACAAGTTGATGTCCCTGATATTAAACTTTATGGTTTTTTTTATTATGTTGTAGAGAATTTATACACTGACTCATTGTCAATCTATGCATACCAGCCCACTTATAAATTTGTATTTTTTTTTTTGGCTCACTTTGTCTTTTTCTAAATAATTTAGTCTATAAATGTCTATAAATGTCTATAAACAAGATATCAAGATATTTTTCCTACAAAAATAAAAAGTTTTTAAGTTCCAGTGTAAATGAAGTTTTATAGAAAATTAAAAGTTTCAAAACAAACAAACAAAAAAATAGATTCTTAGAAATATTGACAATAAGATTACATTGCATAAGCACAAAGAATATACAGTGTGGTACAGATTTATCATATAAATTAGTGATTGTTACTAAATTTTTTAACTCCTTAGCATCTTACTTGATTAATATTGTATTTGTAATACAGTCTAGTTTTATTTTGTAAATTAAGTTGAGAAAAATGATGGTGCAAAATTATAACCTTATTTCAATTTTGTTCATCAAAGTTTGATGATGTGTTATCTTAATTTGAATTTATAAATACTTTGTTTTATTGCCACAATTCTGAATGACCTCAAATATTCAATTTGGCATACTTTCAGAATGTTTTTGAAAGAACATATCTCTTGCTGAGATCAGCAAGAGATATGTTCTTTCAAACATGGACAATTGCCTTTTTCAATTTATTGACATTTGAATATTATTTCCTTTCTGCATAATTATGTCTTGCTAAAATGCCCCATATGTTTTCAATGGGATTAAAATTGGGTAAGAGTGCTGGTCGCTCCAATAATTTAATTTTTTAGCTGGTGAACCATGGAATATGTATGTATTTTTTAATGCTAATTCACCTTCCCAAGGCCAAGAAGGCCAGTACAGATGAGGACTTAATTGTACTTATAACTCACATCTGAACTCTATAACTCCAAAACACGAATCTTGATGAACAAGGCCGTTGCGCAGAGAAACACTATAAGCACGTTACTACCGGGGATTGAATTTTAAACATTATCTTGCTCAAAAACAAAATTTATGTTTCAAAATTCTTATGAAATATCCTTCAAATGATCATCCAACAAATTTCTATATACTTCTGCATTTAATATATATTATTTGTTAAATGCGGTTTATAATATTATAAGGTACTTGTACCTCAGTAGATGTTACATTCCAGGATTTTGTTTTTTTCTACTAATGTATACATATATTTTAATCAAATGTATTTGTGTGTTTTAATTAGTATTAGAGATGCACATTTTTTTGCATATCTAAGAAAGTCTGACTTGTTAATTTTATGATTCACCATCCATCTTAAGCATTTCAATTCCAAATCAGCACCAATTTGTATTTTGAAGACTGTACAAATACTAGCGGCATACCCAATTTGTTGGAGTTTGTGAACTATTAGAATTGTTCTTCTACCACTTTGATGCTTTATGCAATAATTTTTGGATTATTTAAAAATTATTGATCAAATGTAGAGAGCATCTCAGCTTGCTAAGCGATTGTCCTGTTTAATAAATGCAATGGCTTGTAGGCTTCAATCTTGGCTTTTTTGTCATCAGAGTGTAGTTACTCTTGGCATTCATTATAATATATTTGATTAAATAAATATTATTTGAAATAGAATTCTATTTATATATATATATTTTATATATATATATATATATATATATATATTTATATATATATAAATTTATATATATATATTTATATATTATATATATATATATTTATATATAATATATATTTATATATATATATATATAATATATATATATATATATATATATATATATATATATATATATATATAAATATGTATATATAAATAAATATATATATATATATATATATATATATATATATATATATATATATACACACACACACACATACACACACACACACATATATATATATATATATATATATATATATATATATATATATATATATATATATATATTATATATATATATATATATATATATATATATATATATATATATATATATATATATATATATATATATATATGAAAATTTTACAGATTATGTGCAAACTAGTAATTGGTCTGATTTTATTGCTTCCAATGGAGTTACAAATAAAACAGTTGAGTGTATGAACATGTGTTCTGGATATAACTTAGAATTCGGTAAAATATTCTTTATTGTTAAGTATTATATTGTTGTAATGTAATGTTATATATTATAATATTGTTATTATTATTATACGATATGTATATTATATTATTATCATTATACATAGTTTATTATTTTATTCATATTATTTTAATGTTCCTAATAATACAAGTACAAGTAACAGGTGACAACTAAAAAATGAGATGGATTTAAAGATGCATAATTTCTTTAAGGTATAACATAAAACAAAAAGGAAAAATGTTTTGAAAATTATTTTTATTCTAGTTTTTAAATTAAAAGACTAATTTGAGTTCAGCTGTCTCATCTTGTGATCTTAGTGTTGATGGTTATCTTCCTTTAATTCGTAAAGACTCCAATAGTCACATGCTTGGCCTAGGCATTTACATTCGTAAAAATTCGCCCATTTGTCGGGAAACTAGGTTTGAATCCACAGACTACTCTTTTATGTGCTTTCGTTTAGCACCACTTCACTCTATCACCTTTCTCTTTGTTCTATATCGCTCTCCTTCATCCCAAGACTGCACTCTTCTTGATGTTATTTCTGATTATATTGACCAAGCCCTCAATCTTTATCCATCAGCCAATATTGTTGTTGTCGGTGACTTTAATGTTCATCACACTGAATGGCTTGGCTCTAGTGTCAGTGACTCCGCAGGCATTAAGGCCCACAAATTTTGCCTTTCTCAATCCCTAACTTAGTCAATAGTCAACTTTCCAACTCGCTTTTCAGACAACCCAAATCATTTACCTTCTCTACTCAACTTATGTCTTGTTTCTGATCCTAGTCAGTGCTTAGTTTCTTCACACTCACCCTTAGGTGCTTCTGATCATAATTTGGTCTCTCTAAAACTATTATCTCACACTTCTTTACCATCAGAATTCCCCTATCATTGTACATCTTACAACTACCTTAAAGCTGACTGGGACTCTTTCCGTGATTTTCTTCGTGATGGCCCCTGGGTAGAAATCTTTCGTCTCCCTGTTGACAAATGTGCTTCTTACATAACTTCGTGGATTCAGGCTGGCATGGAATCCTTTATTCCCTCTCGACGATTCCAGGTCAAGCTTCACTCTTCTTCATGGTTTTCCTCACATTGTGCTGCTGCAATTGCCAATCGAAACCATTACTTCCATATCTATCAGCAAAACAATTCTCTAGAAAGCGGACGTCTGTTTATTACTGCTAGGAACCATTGTAAAAAGGTTTTGTCTAATGCCAAAGCCCACTATTCTCAAATCATGAAATCTTGTATTTCATCACAAAAATTAGGCTCTCGTGACTTCTGGAGAATCTTTAATAGTATCAATAATAAGGGCAAGTCTGTAATTCCACTTCTTTTGTATGGTTCAGACTTAGTCCCCTCACCTAAAGACAAAGCTGAATTGTTTGCCAAGAACTTTTCATCAATATCATCTCTTGATGCCACTAGTTGCGTTCTACCTGATATAGCCGTCAAACAGGTTGATCCATTGCTCGACATTCGTATCACTCCAGCTTCTGTATCTAAAGTGATTTCCCGCTTAGACTCTTCTACAGCTTGCGGCTCGGACAACATACCTGTTATAGTCTTGCAGAAGTGTTCTCCGGAGCTGTCGTCTATCCTTTCAAAACTATTTAACAAGTGCTTATCAGAGTCTTGTTTTCCAGCCTGCTGGAAAGCAGCATCTGTTATCCCTGTTTTTAAAAATTCTGGAGAGCAATCTGATTCATCTAACTACCGTCCCATTAGTCTTCTTCCTATCATAAGCAAGGTTTTTAAATCTTTAGTTAACAAACACTTAATCTCTTATCTCGAATCTCATAACCTACTTTCTGATCATCAATATGGATTTTGATCTTCTTGTTCTACGGCTGATTTGCTATCAATAATAACCAATAGGTTTTATTGCGCATTAGATAAAGGTGGAGAGATTTAGGCCATTGCTCTTGACATTTCTAAAGCGTTTGATAAAGTTTGGCATGCATTTGTTTATCTGGAAATAACTTTAAGATTATTGAATCCTTTCTTTCCAATTGTAGTATAAAAGTTGTCCTTGATTGACAGCACTCTTCTTCTTATTTTGTTACCTCAGGGGTTCCCCAAGGTTCAATCCTTAGCCCTATGCTCTTTTTAATTTACATTAAGGATCTTCCAGATATTCTCACATCTAAGGTGGCATTGTTCGCTGATGATACTACCATTTATTCTTGTCACGATAAAAAGCCAACTCCCTCTGATTGCTTGCAGGGGGCATCTAAGCTTGAAAAGGATCTCACTTCTGCTACAGCATGGGGCTCACAGTGGCTGGTGAACTTTAATTTAGATAAAACTCAATTTTTTTTGGCCAATCGTTATCGCAATAATTTAGACCTTCCTATATTTATGAACGGTAATGTACTCGATGAGTCTCCTACCCTTCATCTTCTAGGATTAGCTCTTACTTCTGATCTTTCTTGGAAACCTTATATCAAATCCGTTGCAAAATTAGCATCTGCTAAAGTTGCTTCTCTTTATCGAGCTCGTCACTTTCTTACTCAGGATTCTATTCTCTATCTCTATAAATCTCAAATCCGGCCTTGTATGGAATACTGTTGCCATATCTGGGGCGAATCTTCTAATGATGCCCTTTCTCTTTTAGACAAGGTGCAAAAATGCATTGTAAACATAGTTGGACCTGCTCTTGCAGCCAACCTTCAACCTCTGTCACATTGTCGTAATGTTGCTTCTCTTTCTCTTTTCTACAAATACTATAATGGGCACTGCTCGAAAGAGCTAGCGTTGCTTGTGCCATCTACAAAAATTCATTCTTGTGTTACTCGTCATTCAATTAAGTCTCATCCTTTTTCTGTTACTGTTCCTAAGTGCTCCAAAAGTTCTAGTTTTTTTTCTCAAACATCAGTTCTTTGGAATTCGTTTCCTTTAACTTGCTTTCCTGATTCATATAATTTGCAATCTTTTAAGTCGTTTGTCAATCGTTATCTTGCTCTCCAATCTTCATATTTTCTCTTACAGTAACTTCCAACACTAATTAGTGGTTGCTTGCAGCCTTGTTGGAAGCGAAGATAATTAAAAAAAAAAACAAAAAAAACCCGAAAGTTTCTTAATAACAAGCAGCAAAAAAGTTCAACTGCACTCAGCATCACATTAGTAAAACATTTTTAAAAAAAGACAAAAATTAATCCAAGAAAAAAAATGACTATATAAAACCTTCTGACCAGCAAAAAGCAATTGCTAGTACTAAGTGCGGTAGTGGTGTAGTGGTGGAGCGCTTGCCTCACAAGTGAGAAGCTCTAAATTTTGTTATCCACCACATCCCTGGTAGTACCATGCTTAATTTGTTTTTCTGCGCTGTGACTTTGTTCTTCAAGGTTTGTGTTTCAGAGTTATCGAGTTGAGAGAGGATTGTAACCACAACTAAAAGTATTCTCCACGACTGTAGTAACCTTCATGGCCTTGGAGAGGTGAATTAAAAAAAAAAAAAAAAGCAGTTGATTGTATAAGAAATTTAGAAACTGTAAACCAATCAATAATGATGAGTCTTTTTTTTTTTTTGTATTTTAAAAGATCACTTGTTTAAATAGATTTCTTTTTATAAGATTAATTGGTATGCAGAAAATCTTCAAAAAGTTTGCTCTAGAATTAAGTATTGCCTTAATAAAGTTGATATTGAGCTCATAGAATATATCTCAGTCTATACCAGGCATAATTGATAAAGTCAGAAGGCATGGTTTAATCAAAAATAACTGATAATATAAATTAAAAATAGAATAAAAATACTTTGTAAAAGATTTTTCCTTTTTACTTAACCTTGTTCATTAAAAGATATACGTGTCTTTAAAACCAGTCTTGTTTTTCAGTTGTCACTCATTATCATGAAACCTTGTTTTTTTAGTAGTAAATAATTTTTTTTTAATTTCTAAGCTGAGCTAAGCAAACACCTACATAACTAATGTTAGGTTGAACAGAGTTCTTCACAAATTTAAACCTGTGGCTCTAGTCTTACCGGCTAAAGTTTATTTTCTCAAAAAGTTAATGGGTTCACTTTTAAGGAGTTGTAAATAATTTATTTCAATTTATAATAATTAAATTGCTTCTTCTTCGTCTTAAGTATTACAAGACGTAATTATTTAATAGCATTACCATTAACACTAGTTTGTAACCTATAGAAGATAAGAAAGACTTAAGATTCTATTACTCTATTGTTTGAGAAAACAGAAAGAGTATAAATTGTATTTAACATAAAATCTTGTTTTTTATGTTGAGACTAAATAATTATCTTTTCAAATACACAGTTGATTTTTAAATGTTTTTAAAGTTGTTATTATAAATTTAATATTGCTTTAAGTGCTGGAAATTGTTTAGCACAATATCATTTGTTTTAATCAAGTTCCTCTGAGCTGGAGGTTTTGACAAAAACTTTTTTTACTCATCTCATTTGTCTACAAACTGTCTATTCTTTTTAATTTTTATCTTTTTCATCCAATATATATATACAATACTACTAATTATTTTACTACAAATGGCTACTAATGTTTTAAACAAAAACAATTTCATTACAATAAATAACCAACTTGTTTGAACTGTATTGAATAGCTCCTGATAAATTGCATGGAATGAACACTAACACATGTTGCATCTTGTTGTAGCAAACACATTTTCCTTGAACCTTGTTTATCAGAGCTGCCTATGGTGATATGGTGATAGGACAATTTGAAGTTTTGATTAGTGTACTAAATGTATGTGTAAAATTTTTCTACACATTTACAAATAGTTATTAAAATAGTGTATAGATTTTAGTAAACCCTAGGGTTCTGTAGGTTTCCAGTTTATTGGAAAAACATTGCTTTATTTGCACATATACAAATTGCATAAGCTTTAAAAAGACCTTTTGCGGAAACCAAGATTACAGCAAACAACATTAATTTATAACATCATAAAAAATTGTATTAATAAAAATTGTAACTTTACCCTTCGTTATATAAAACATCCAGAAAAATACATTTTGAAAAAGTGAAAAAAAAAAGTGATCCTAATAAAAAGTGTAGTAAAATTAGAAATTTTCATAAATTTTTAATAAAAAGAAGTTTAAATTTTTAAGCTAATATTATGTTTAAAAAAAAATATGTTGAGAGTATAAATGACAAAATAAAAGATACAATTTGTTTATGTTAACTATACAAAAAAATCTTAACTTAAAAGATTTTGTTTTGATTTGCAAAGAACAAAACTGAAACATTGAAAAAATTGATGTTAATAATTTTACAATTATTAACATCAATTTATAGCATTTCAGTGATTTTAACCTCTGATGACAAAGAAGTTTTAAATACTTAAGTATATGGTTGGTTCATTTTACTTTGAGTTAAAATCAAAGCTATGCACAAAATCCAGTCAATGTTAAAGGTTATAGGTTTTTTTTAGTATTAGTAAGATTCTTAAGCAGCAAAGTAAACATATTTAACTTGTGAAATTCAGTAACCTTACTTGTTTGCCAGCCAAATTCTTTTTATATAATTGGCCTGGAAATATTTCAATCTTCTTAATTTCATAAAAATACTTTTAATTGTCTGTATCTATCTGAATAAATTTAATTTACCAGAGAAATTGAAAGAAAGAAATCGAAAAACTAGTTATGAGTAGTAGAAAGTAGAAATCGAAAAACTAAGTTATGAGCAGTAGGCAAAGCTTTTAAGTTGTTTAAAAAATGTAGTTGATAGCTGTTTTCCTTTTTTTTTAAACTACTTTTTGAAACAGTTGCATTGTATGAAATTGTAATTATTTGTAAACAATTAAAATTTGTAAGAACAAACAGAAGGAAATAAATTGAAAAAATAATAATAATTCTATTTGATGCAGGTAATCTGTGGTGCCTGAACTATATTGAGCAATGAAAGCCCAAAGAGAAATATGAAACATTTGTATTGAAAAAACTTTTTATATAAAGGAAGATTATAATAAAAACAAAGAAAAACAAATAAATGTTCAGAATAAACACAGATTTATTTTAAGAAGAAAAAGCTTATGGTGCATTTTTTCTACAATTGAATTATTAAAAAAATATACTAAATATATATATTTAGTAAAAATCTTATTTTATGTAACAGTAATTTTTATATTAGTGTTTCATAAAATAATTATCTTCTTAGTATTAATTATTCAGTTTAAATAGTATCAGCAAACCAGAATTAATAATATTATTATTAACTAATTAACATAAGCGGTTTTTAAATTAACTTTAATGAGCAAAAGATATAAAATGAGCGCTAGTTTTAAAGTTCTTATATTATTATTATTCAAAATTGTTGTGTGTAATTAAGAACACTTTTTGCACTTTTAAAGCTTGTGCTTATTTTCCAATAATAGGATTATTAAAAATATACATTTAGTAAAAGTTTCGTTTTATGTAATATTTGCAATTTTTACAGTAGTGTTCAGAGATTAAAGTTCTTATTTCATTATTATTCAAAATTGTTGTATGTAGTTAAGAACACTTTTTGCACTTTTAAAGCTTGTGCTTTTTTTCCTATAATAGGGTTATTATATATATATATATATATATATATATATATATATATATATATATATATATATATAATATATATATATATATATATATATATATATATATATATATATATATATATACATATATATATATATATATATATATATATATATATATATATATATATATATATATATATATATATATATGTATATATATATATATATATATATATATATATATATATACATATATATATATATATATATATATATATATATATATATATATATATATATAGATATATATATATATATATATATATATGTATATATATATATATATATATATATATATTTATATATATATATGATATATGTATATATATATATATATATATATATATATATGTATATATATATATATATAGATGTATATGATATATATATATATGTATGTATATATATATATGTATATATATATATATATATATATATATATAAATATATATATACATATATATATATGTATATATATACATATATATATATATATATATGTATATATATATATATATATATATATATATATATATATATATATATATATATATATATATATATATATATATATATATTTAGTAAAAGTTTCGTTTTATGTAACATTAATTTTTACAGCAGTGTTTAATAAAACAATCATCTTCTTAGTATTAAGTATTCAGTTAAAATAGTATCTACAAATGAGAATTAGTAACATATTTATTAACTAATTAACATTAGCGATTTTGAAATGATTTTAATGACCAAGAAATATAAAATGTGTGCTAGTTTTTTCTCTTTAACTTTAGAGATTAAAGTTCTTCTTTTATTCAAAATTGTTGTATGTAATTATGAACATTATCTCAACTGTACTTTTTTTTATTTACTTTTTTTCACCATTTGCCAATTCATTGCAATAAAATGAGTTACTTTTAAATAATTTAAAAATTATCAATCGTGTTTGCACGTTTTAAAAAAAAAAGCATTCATTTTATATAAAATTATTTTTAAAATAAAATCTGAATTCATTAATTTTCAAGCATTAACTTATTTTTTTATTATAAAGTTGAGTCATGAAGAACTATTACTAAGATGATTCATAATAATAGTAAGTTTAAAAAAAGAAAAAAATTTAAATTTTGACCATCAAAACAATTTTCCACTCTGTTTTTTTTTTTATTTAAATGGTAAACAAAGCAAAGCAAAAAATAAAAAACAATAAAATAATTCTGATATTAGAAAGACATTATTTGTTATTTATTTATTTTAACATGATTTTGTGGAGTTTTTTAAGAGAACACTTAACAGTTGTGATTCTAATGAGATACTGCTCCAACCAAACATAAGTTAAAAGTTTAAAAAATGCTCCAGATAAGAAAATCAATTACGTAATGAACACACTTTTCATTTTACTAAAAATACATTCTTAACTTGAAAAGTGGTTTATTATTTTGACTAATATTTATTCTGAGGTTTTTTTCTTAACTTGAAAAGTGATTTATTATTTGCCTAATATTTATTCTGAGTTTTTTTTATTGTAGAATAAATCTTATGAAATAGTATATAGAAACTTATAAAACGTGTCCACATTAAAAAATATTATGTTATTTTTAAAAATAATATATATTGTAATGCAAAATAAAATTTTTAAACAAAAGTTTTGTTTTTTATTTTATTCCAACAAGTTTTGTTTTATAGTTTGTTTTATTAATTTTTCTGATTATTTACTTATTTTTATATAACATTTTTTACTAAAGTATTTTGGACATCATGGAGCAGTTGGTCGATTTGTAATGATACATATGGATTCAAGAACAGATCAAGAAATTGTAATGTGTCAAATTCAATAAATCAGTGTGATGGTCACAACTTTGATATAATGGAATGTTATGGTATCACAAGTTTTTTGTAAAATCATAATACAAAAAAAACAAACATAGTTAATCAAATATTTATATTTATTTTGTAACAACTTATGTTGCATGGCAACAATTTTGGAATTTTTTTGATTAGATAATCTTTTTTTTTTGTCTTAAATGTTATTCACCTCCCCAAGATCGAGGGGACTACTACAGTTGAGGAGGCTACTATTTATTTTTTCAATTTTTTTAATGTTGTGTTTACAACCCTCTCTCAATTTTAAATTTAAAAACAAAAATCTTAGCAAACAAGGACACTGCACAAAGAAAGATGTTAACTGCGGCACTAACAAAAATTTGGTGGGAATCTGGCTTATGACATGAAAGCTTAACATCAAAAAATATAGGGATTTTTTGAAAAGCTTTAAATAGATCTCAAGTGAATTTTTAAATAAAAATTTAAATGATTTCAAACTTCAGTAAAATCATATTAACAAAATTGTAAATAATTATTAAAAGTATTTTTTAACCTAAAACAATATTTTTTCTTACTTTAAAAAGACTTTAATAAAATAAAATTAATAAAAAAATGAAATATCCATTCTTTTTATCAGGATGAACAACAAACTTACCCTAATCCTGTTAATGTTTTCAATAAACAGTCTTTTTTTTTTAAAAATGCAACTAAAAAATTATTAAAAACTTTTTTAAAACACTTTCTATTTAATGAAAGTTTAAAACTATAAAAATAGAATCAGTTAACAAAATAGTATAAACAAAATAGCTGATATACCTTGATGAAAATTTATTTCTGGTTTAAATTTTCCTGTGTTCTTCTCATTTTTTATATAAAAGAAATCATTGGAAGTTCCAACATGTCACCATGTTGGAACTTCCAATGTGGTGATAATGATTAATTTGGAATAATTAATAATTTTAGAAATACATTTGTTTCTAAATATGTTAATAATTGTTAATTAATCATCCATATATTACTTGCTTCATGAACTATGGTGATTTCTTACTTTAGTCATTTGGTCACAATGGAGCATTTGGTCAAATTGTAATGGTACTTATGGATTTATAAATAGAACAAGGGAGTGCAATGTTTCTCATTCTGCGGATCAGTGTAATGGTCGTAACATCGAAGTAAAAGAATGTTTTGGTATGATGCTAAGTTTATCTTAATTTATATTGCAAGAAGCAAAATAATATATTTCTGAGAGTAAAAAATTATGTAAACTTACACAATTAAAATAATTTTATTAGATTGAAACATGTATTTAGTACTACTTCAATTATATATATATATATATACA